AACTTGACCGGAATTCCATCTGGGCCTGGTGATTTGTTGTTTTTTTGTTTTTTCAATGCTATTTCTAATTCTATTGCAGTTATTGGTCTATTCAACATTTTCTTTTGTTCTTCAGTAATTTTACCCATTTTTGCTGCCTCAATATATTGTTTGACTTTATCATCTGGTATATCTTCCTGATGGTATAGCTTTGAAAAGAAATTTTGTATTATTTTCTTTTTTTCTTCCCGTCTATATTGTACTGTTCCACTTTCATCTTGTAGTTGGTGTATTGTTCTTTTGCCTTTTTCTTTTTTTAATTTATAAGCCAACCATCGACCAGTTTTATTCGCATTTTCAAAGTAATTTTGTTTTGCCATCCTGATTTTCTGTGCCATTTCTTTTTGTGTTGTCAGGTTAATCTTTTGTTTTATAATATTCCATTTTTCTTTTATCTTTTTATTTTGTGGGTCCTTCTGTAGATCACCTTCTATTTTTTTTAATTCTTCTTGTAATTTCCCTTGTTGAAGTCTCCTATCTTTATTTTTCTTTGAGTTGTATGCGATTGTCAATCCCCGTATGTAAGCTTTTGTAGTATCCCACAAATTTTGTGTTGATGTCTCTTCCTTTTTATTTACCTGAAAAAATAATGTCAACTCCTTTTCTAGCATCTGTATATATTGTGATTATTCAAATAACAGTAATAGTGAATGAAATTAAGAGTGGTGATAATACTTAGAGAATAGTATATGTATATGCATCGTATGTAGTGCTATAGAAATATATATAAGAGGTGTTTAGAGTATTATAAATTTTACTAGATAAACAGTGGGATAAGGAAAGGTACAACTCTACTTGTAATTTTACTTTTCAAGGTTAATCCTAAGAATAACGTTCTATAAAGGTATTCTATAAAGGTATTATAATCATATATATTGATACATAATTAGAAATATTGTATCTCACCTCCCGTCTACCAGCCATTTGGAAACCCGCCCTTATTGACAAACGACTCCCTAACACAAAAAATGATACCAGACCCACACTCACAAAAACCACACAGGATGTCACCACCACACATCCATGCAAAAAGCAAACCCAAAGCCACACCGACAGTGAGGCATGACCACAAACCAGAAGCCAGACCACAGCTGCATCATTAGCCACTTTAAACCCCTCCAATCCATACATGAAGCAAACTGACACCCTCCATGAAGATGAGGCACGACCACGAACGCGAAGCCAAAAAATAGCAAGGCAGCCCAAAATCTTAAACCCCTCTGCAACTCAGACTAACCTGAGCACAACCAAACAGAACACTCCCCCAGCCAATCAGAGCACAGCCCCCCCCAGCCAATCAGAGCACAGCCAACCCCCCAGCCAATCAGAGCACAGCCAAGCCCCTAACCAATCAGAACACACCTCCACCCAATCAGAACACAGCCAAGCTCCCACCCAATCAGTTCATACCCCCACTGGCAGTTAAAAGGAAGAAACAGCTAAGACCACACATTGCTGCTCGAAGCACGAAGCTGAAAGCACCAGCCTGAAGATGACGAATGGGACTTCGTCGAAACGTCGCCAAGACACTTCCAATTTTACGCGGAGAAAACCCAACAACCAAAGACCATATATATATATATATATATATATATATATATATATATATATATATATATATATATATATATATATATATATATATATATATATATATATATATATATATATATATATATATATATATATATATATATATATTCTTTACTATCTATATTATATATACATTTGCATATTTAAGCTTAGACTATATAGATTGAAAACTAACTTGATCAACAAAAATAACTTGCCATAAATTGGTATATGCAAAAGTGGAGAAATATTATTCAAATAATAAAAATGACAAGTACCGCAACAACAACTAAAGTCGGCAAAAAAACAGTTACAAATCCCACACCTATAATGGCCTCTCCTACAGGTCAAAGAATGATAGCAACCATGTTGGGGAAAGAAAAAGCAGAATTGGCAATGAACCCACAGAGCATGCAGATAATTCTACAAATGATTCAGGAAACAATGATGATGACCCAAGAGGCAATAGCAAACAATCATGAAAAAACGAAAACATATCACAAAGAAATTAAGAATTAAATTGGAGAAATGAGAGATGAAATTAAAAACATGAATGATAAGTTAGGCAATATACAACCACAATGGTATTGAAAGACAAATGTGGATCAGTTTATTTCGAAACCTGGAATAAATTTTACTGCTGGAGGGATTCGAGGAGGACGGTTGGGATTATAGGCTAGTGTTAAGATAGAAATATATGTAATTTTAGGTTAGCAAATAGAGAAATAGATTAAGTATTGTATATAAAATTTAGATGTATATTCAGAGATGAAGAATCTATTGTAAAATGTGAAATAATTTGATAAGAATGTATATACTGGAATGTCATGTTATATCCAATGTTTCTTTTAATTGTATTATAAATAAAATTATTTAAAAAAAGTAAGTGATGATGATGAGGAGGATGTTATCCCTTAAATTGTATCTGACTCTTGGCAATTTTATGGGCCAGGTTTCTCCATGTTTTCCGATCCTGCACTACTTGATAAGTAAGTAGTTATCATAAATAGCAGATCAAATCACAAGTTACACATTTATGATGAATAGTCATAGATAGATAGCTTCTCTTCCTTTCTCCCAGATATGGGAGAAACTTCTCCACAAGTTGTGCAGCATTTCAGCCTCCAAAGTGCTTCAGAGTTCATGGGAAGCAAAATATAACATCTGCCTGCAATATTTTGAACTAGATATGTTTTTCCCAGTGTAGAGTAGCTGTTTGCCACAACTTTCCAAAGTACAATTTGCAAGCAAAGACTATATTTATTTATAATTTGTGTGTTTAATTTGTGTGTTTAATCTGATAGTTTAATGCTTCATTTTTAATAAAAATAAACATTGGAATATATACTTAATGCTGAAAGCATAATAGTATTTAAGTTATAACAGATGATTGACTGGCATTCTGAAATGAAAGCAATAGGTCTTTATTGTAAACACATCAAAAGAACTGAGTTGCTTTTGTTGAATAGTGAAACATCTGCTGGTTAAATGAAAGTTATAGATCTAATATGACTGGTAGCTTCTTGCCCAACTGAGAAGAAATTAATAGAGAAGTACTATTTTTTTTCATTCTGATCTTGGAGTGGAAATCAAGGAAGCCAGTTGATTTTTTTTTCTCAATTACATTATCAATAGATGCACTTGATTGATAACCAGCCGCACCAACAGGCTGAAGAACAGTTTCTGCCCATGAGCTGTCAGACTCCTGAATGGGAAATAATTCCATGTATGATAGACCTGTGGGGCCGACGCATTGTGCAATAAGTTCACGTGGTGTAATAAGATTGTATGTTGTTGTCACTGTGAGTTGTGTCTGGGGGAGTGTACGAAGGGAGGCTTAGCCAACCTCATTGTACACATGTTGTACTTTGACAATAAAGGTTGATTTGATTTGTGGTTTTATGGTAAGCCTGTATGACTTTCCAAACAAAGCACAAATTCCATAGAAGACAAAGACAGAGCTTTTATTCTACAGATATTTCAAAAACAAGGTTGTGGATCTTGCTCAGTTTGATAATAATGGCTGTTTGTTTTAGAAAAGCTTATTGGGTTTGTATTGATAAAGGTTCCAAAGCCAAGAAAACATTTTTTATATACTTCTCATTTCTACTTTGTAAGGCAGTGCTTTTTTTGATATTTAAGAACATTAAAGGGAGAATGGATTCTGAAATATTTTGACTCCTAACAAATGCAAGTTTTATAGTATGTACCCACTTGATTCATTCACACACATGCAGCTGCCCAGAAATGTTTTGGAGTCAGGCCATTCCTAAATCTAATAAATACATCAATAAAAGATTACACTGCTTTGGTGTATTGAAAATCTGGGACAAACATACTTGTTTTTATTATGGGTTCAATAAATGTTTTTGGTAAGATGGTTGCATGGATAGTTTGTTGAAGACAAATCTAAAATTTCATAAAATACAAATACTGTGTTCAAAATTACCATTCTCCTTCTTCAACCATTTAGTCTGTGACTGACTCAAAAACATACAGCATGTTACAAGGTACCCCAGAATATGTAATTTCAGGGTTATAGGACAATAGGATAAGAGAACAGCCCTTATTCCATAAATCATGGATCAATAATTCCTGAGCTCTTGTCTATTTATGGAAATTACCACAAGTCCCATCCAGTTGCTTTAACTCTAGTTTCTAGTATCAATGTGAATTATCTCCTTTACTATACTGCGTAAAGAATTTATTAAAATCTCAGTAACTGACCTGAAAGAAAGTCCAGATCAGAGGTGCAACTATACATAATGTCATTTTCTGGAAGGGGTAAGTTCTATGAACTTCTGTTGTTCTTGCTTCTTTTACTTCTTCTGGCTCTGAATAACTGCAGCTGTAGAAGCACAGCAACTATTTTCTCTATATCTGCAGTGTCTACTTTGACATTATAATGTTTGACATTGTCAACATCATCATTGTCATCTCAGTATATATGACTGCTCATCTCAAGTTCATGACTCTGGGCAACTAACAATAATTAAAGTCATATAAAAAATAAAAACAAACAACATGTAATTTGCAACTAGGGAGAAAACAAATTCACCCATAAGAAATCAATATGACTAGAGCATGGGTTCAGCTATCCCTTCAGATCCCCAGACATTGTGATAAAACCATGTCTTTAGGACCATATGAAAGGACAACAGGGTCTGGGTGCTCTAATCTTGGGGGGTGAGTATGTGAAATGATACACCTACATCAGCTCTGGATTTCTTATCTTGGCATGTATGTGATGTTTGATGTATGTGAATATTTCTCTTTAGAAATACTGCTAGACATTTGTAAGGTTTACAAGAAAAGGTTTGCTCTTTTTTTTTTTAACTTTGTGCTTGGGAAGATGGTTCTAAAAGGCAAGGAGAACCCATTATAATAATCTTCCTAAATCTTATCTCAACAGAGACAAGTGTGTTTCCTCCTGTGACTGTTACAGATTATGGAAGAACAGCTGAAATGCCAACTTGGATTAGCATAGCAAAGCAAAAGCAAAAGATTGTTGAACAAGACTTTAGCAAAGAAGAGAAGCCAGAGGAACAGGATAAAGCAGATGCAGAAAAACAAATAAAAGAGAAGAAAACAATGGAGGTACGTAGTTTACCACTGATTGATTGGTGTGTGTCATCTCAGTGGCAGTTCTTTCAGTTTTGTTGATCAGTCCTCTAAGCCAGGGCTTTTCAACCAGTGGTACGGGTACCACCTGTGGTACATTGGCACCTGGCAGGTGGTATGCGACCATCCTAGAAAAGTGGTAGCGGGGGGGGGGGAATGAGCTGAACTGGTGGCAGCACCGCACAAGCCTGAGCGAGAGATGGCTGGAGCTGCAGGGCTGTCAGGGCTCAGCGGAAGTGCCAGGATCAGCGCTTCTTCAGGGCTGTTAGGGCTCAGTGGAAGCACCAGGATCAGCACCAGGCTCCAGCTGGAGTTCGGCACTAATCCTGGCGCTTCTGCTGAGCCCAGAAGAAGCGCCGATCAGCTGGAATGTTGCAGCATCTCCAGGGTCTTGTGATTTACATTCAGATGCTTGGCAACTGATTCATATTTATGATGGTCACAGTGTCCCGGGTCATGTGAAGTGACCAAAACCTGCTGCAACCACCCAGAAGAAGTGGGGGGAATAAAAACCAAACACCCCCCACCCCACCCCGCTGCCAATCCTCAACAGAAATGCTGACAACAATGAAAACCTCAGACAGGAGGAAGAGCGCCGCCGGGTGGGCAGGCAGGTGTCTTGCTTGGCTGTGCCTTGGGGGGCACTTTTTTCAGTGCCATTGTAACTTCGAACAGTCACTAAGCAAACTGTTGTAAGTCAAGGACTACCTGTACTTTATCACTTTTTTACTTTTTTTGGTCATCAAGTTTTGACACCTTGCTAGGTGACTGGTGGTACTCGGATATTGCCATATCAATTTATATTCCTTACAGCAGTGACCCCCAACCTTTTGGGCACCAGGGACCGGTCCCATGGAGAGATATTTTTCCACAGATTGGAGGGGCCATGGTGGACCAGGGTTGGAGACCCCTGCCTTACAATTTGGTCAGATTGGTTAGGAATCTGAATTTCCCTTATAAGCCAAACTCTTTAGTTATTAATAGTTTAATATAAACCACTCCTTTCCTCTCCTAGATTCACACAGATAAATGCAGTATGTCCCAGTACATGCAGGAAAACAAACCTTTATGACATCATACAAAGCTCTTCTGATGCTGAGTGAGAACCCTGCTTTTGATGGCCTGTCACTTTCTATTTCAGTTGAATATGTATTCCAACCTATCCCAAACTTTGAATTTTCCAAATGTGTCTGCCTTATTGTGATTAGGGATAAACCAATCTGTTTTTTCACCTGAGACACTTTTACATATATTTCCACTTATTCTGTATCAATGTAGCTTTGTGAATATTAAAATGATCTTTATTAGATATTTTACTGCTTTCATTATCTATGGAGATTCTCAGTCATCCATGTCATGATTGTCCCAAAGGTGCTTTTTCAAGAGGCAACTGAACTTGTTTTTTCTTTGAACAAAACTTTCTTTGAAAAAAAAAGAAGAAGCTTCTTGGATGAGAGGGGAAATGTCTTCAAAGAAAAAACAAGAAAGTCCAGTTGCCTTTGAAAAAACACCTTTGGGACGACTTCTTTCATTCTGCAAGTGTGTATCTGTTGAACACTTAAATAAAAATTCAAATTAGGCACCAATGTTAAGTTGGAATCTCAAGTGTGTCACTTTTGAATGTTGCTATTATAACCAAGACAGCATAAGCTGAACATTTTAGAATGAGTTGTTTATACTGATAATTGACAATATAAAATTGCTCAGGTGTACATGCATATGTATGTCATTGTGGAAAAAATGCCCACTTTAAATCAGGAATCAAAACAATGTAAATCATGCCACATTTACAGTCAGAATGTAAAATCTTATAATGTATAAGATACCCTTACTATGATCTGCCCTCTAAATTCCATATTCCCACAAAGGCTCCAATTCCCTTTATTAATACTAGCACTTTCTAACAAAAATAGTATCCTCTATTGTAGTGTTTCCTTGTATATCTCACCAAACTATTCTCATTTGGATGTGCAAAAAAGTAGCAAGAAATAGCAAGCCAAAGATATTAAAGCTAGAAGATAAGAAAAAGAAATGGAATTTTATCTAAAATTATGTTTCATACCACAATTCTTGATATCCCTACATACTTTTTTACCTTTGCAAACTATCCTTGCTTCTATGATCTTCATATAGAGTCAGTTTGGTCTAGTAGTTAAGGCACTAGACTAGAAAGCAAGAGGCTGTGAGTTCAAGTCCCACCTTAGCCATAAAAGTCAGCTTGGGCCACTTACTCTCTCTCAGCCTTACTCACCTCCCAGGGTTGTTGTGAGGAAAATAGGAGGAGAAAAATATGTTGGATATGTTTGCTGCCTTGAGTTATTTGTAAAAATAATAAATAAATATAAATATATTGATTTATTTTCTGATCTCTCTTTTGGGATCAACCATGATTTTTTTTTTCATTGTTCTAAATCCATTTGCTTTTTCTTCAAATATTTTTGTAATTCAATCCTTGATCATTCTTTCTATATCAGGGATCCCCAATCCCCAGTCAGTGGAATGGGACCAGTCCGTAGCATGCCAGCAACCAGTCTGCACAAATAAGCAAAGCCCCATCCGCGGGATGCAGGCAGCACACAAAACCACACCCCCTCCAGTCCGCGGAAAAATCTCTCTCCATGGAACTGGTCCCTGGTGCCCAAAAGGTTGGGGACCTCTGCTCTATATGATTAAAATACGTTTTTCATACTTAATGACTCTAACTTCTATTCAGATTCATTAATCATTCATTCATGATCCTCTTCTTGCTTTACCATACAAATTATATTAAATTAGTGTTCTTTTTCATTTTAGATGTCCAAAAATCTTAAAAAGTGTTAAAATCATAAACAGCATTGACATCCTTTGACAGTATGCACTGAAAGTATATTTACTCCCTCAAATGCTGTTTTGCATCTCTTTTAGTATATGTATAAGTGTGTGTGTGTGTATATATATATATATATATATATATATATATATATATATATGTATATTTCATTTACACATAAACTATTCAACAATGCCTAATAGGTTGAGAACTTTGTCCTCATTTAAGTACACAAAATCTACATACCGTATTTGAAATGAACAACTTGTATCCTTTGCTATAAATTATGTTCCCTAGGCTATTAAACACCGCAGTTCATAACCACAATTTCTTCAACCTAGCATAAATAGTACAACTTCTTCTTTTTTTTTGCATTACTCTTCTATGCTTGTTTGGTTTATACAATTTATGTGGCTGCCCATCTTGAGTAAAACCAAAACCAACAGCAATGCAAAATAATGATAAAATCTACATCACATCAATATATACAGTAAGGCACCAAGGTCCAAAATAAGTCCTTTTCCTCTTACAGATCAATAACAAGAAGTTAGCCAATAGATTTACCTAAGAACCAGTCTTCAAGGTTTGAGGGAAAAGCCAGATCTTTTGCACTTTATGTAAAACTAACTAGCTGAGAGCTCTCCAGATCTTTGCAAGGGGTGGAGATATTGTTCCCCAGGATAGATGCTACAAAAGAGAAGACACATGTCTTGAGTTCTGCCAGGACTACTTAATATAAAGACCCAAAGCATCCTACCATGACAGATCTGATGAAGTGAACAGAAACAATTAGGGAAAAGCTGTCCCACAAATAAAGTCCCCACAGGATTTTATAGAAGACAGCCAGCATCTTGAATTTCATCAAGAGCCAGTGCAGTTCATACAGTCCTAATAATACATGAGCATATCATGAGATGCCCAAGATTATCTTTGCTGCCAAAGTAATTGAGTCTTTCAATTGCTCTTCAACAGCAGTCCCACATATGGAACAGGATGTCAGGTCCCAAGAATCAAGTTATCATGTAACAATTCTTCTGAGCACATTTTTTTCACACCTATAGACAGAATCTTGCCAAGCTAAAGCAAACTACTCCCTACGTGAAACATACTGTATACTCTGGGAACTATTAGAGAGGGGCTGTTTTTACTCTCTTTCTCTCACACAAATGATCTGAACTGAGTTGCCTCTTACTCTTCTCCAATGTGCTCCCTCCATCCTAGAAATCCAGACTATATTCCATCACATATTATACTAGTTCAAATGTGGGATCACTAGGGCATGATCTAGAAATTGGCACCCAAAGTGCATTTCTGAAAAGGCTCTGGGCCATGGCAGGGCCTCTCAGTCCAAGAAATCCCCAAATTGTGTACCAACACTATCTGGGGGAATGTAACTCTATTTAAAGTTAGATAGAAAAAAATGGGAGGGATGCAGCAGGTGGGCTTACTAAGGTTGACCCAAACAGCCTCCAAACACTGAAAAATATATCGACAGAATCATTTAGGTACTGGGATACTTGGATATCACCACTGTCCTCACTTATGTTATTGGATGCCCTTACCCAGTGGCTTCATATAGATGTTTAATATGGATGGGGGAAAAGTAGATCCCTGAAACATTTCACACAGCAGGGATCTAGAACCAGACCTTCTACTGCAGTGGTGGCGAACCTATGGCACGCGTGCCAGAGGCGGCACTCAGAGTCTTCTCTGTGGGCACATGCGCCATCGCCCCAACCCTGCCTCTCGCTGTGGCCCCCTCACCAGCAGCTCCCCCAGAGGAGAGTCGCCCCGAGCGTGGCCCATGTGGAGCAATGCAGCCAAGGACATGGCAACCGGGCAGTGGGAACAAGACCCCACCCTTGTGTCCCGTCGCACACAGTTGATGCTGTGGGACATGGGCAGAGGGCGTGGCCACCATGGCGCTGCTGGGCCACCATGGTGATTGGCGGGCTGTGGAGGCAGTGAGTGGCCCTGTGGGCAGGCGGGGCAGATGGGGAGCAGGGGTGGGGCTGGTTTTTGGGCACTTGGTCTCTAAAAAGTTCACCATCACTGTTCTACTGTAACCAACTGGAATTGGCCCTGGAGAAAGGAGAAGAACCACTGTAATAGTACACTTCCCACTCCCAATCCTCAGAGCTGTACTGTGTTGATGGTATCAAAAGCTGCTGAGAGATAAAGGAGGGCTTGAATGGAGGTATAACTCCATCCCAGTCCCACCAAAGATTATCAATACGTATTCATTGTCCTCTCAGTAATATAATTAGGTCTGAAACTTGACTGAAAAGGCTCCAAATCATAAATCTGGAAAGGAATAAGCAATTCCTTTTACCTGATCTAGCAGGGTTATAATAGTTGTTGATAAATCTGTCTTCCATGAATTAAATTCCAATTATCAAGTCTTACGATAATAAATTCCACAGGTCCATTACATGTGAAGAGTGCAGCAACTGTAATATGTAACAAGATAATTTCAAAGATGAGCAGGAGACCCACCTCTGCTGTTTACTTATATGTTGTTTGTTAACTACACTCATATTCTCTTTCCAAAATAATTATTTCAAACTTTACTAATTGTCTCTTTGTACTTTTATTTAGGAAGTGGTAAGGCAACAGTCAGATTTGCCTCAGAACATAGTATCACCTTCCCCATTCACAGCTTCTGTTGGAGAAACAAAGAAAGAGACAAAGTTGGAAATGCAAGACTCTTCACTAAGAAATAGCCCGTCATCCCATCAGAACCCTGGTATGAAAAAAAGTAGTCAAAATACTAGGCTACTATTGTTCCACAGTATGCAGGGACTTGTACTAAGCCATAATAGGATTAGGCTTTGGCTTGGCATGCAGTATCAATTCGACCAATTGTGGGTAATTAAAAAAAAACTGTGGTTAAACAAAACATGAGAGAAGCAACCTAGAATTAAGGAGAAACTTCTTGACAGTTAGAATAATTAACCAGTGGAACAACCTGCCTCCAGAAGTGGTGAATGCTCCAACACTGGAAGTTTTTAAGAAGAGACTGGACAGCCATTTGTCTGAAATGGTATAGGGTTTTCTGCCTGAGCAGGAGGGGTTGGACTAGATGATCTCCAAGGTCCCTTCCAACATCATCATTATTATTATTATTATTATTATTATTATTATTATTATTATGTAGACTCATTAACTATTATTATAGTACTTTTCATTTGCTATTTATAGTAATATTATTTTGTGCCTAAGTCACATGCCATTAAGACTTTGTTCATATACATGTTTCAAATATATACGGTAATCAAAACAAAGTATAAAAGTGCTTTCTGTGAATATATATGCAGTTATATGTGGAATCTTGTCTAATCCAGATGAACTGAAGATCCAGTGTTCACTTGCTGAAGGAGTAAAAGAATCTAGGTTTTGTTTCTGTGGCCTATGTAGAAGGTTCTTTTTATACAGATTTATTTTCTTTATTATGTTTAGAAAACATTAATTCTCTAACAATACTGCATGGGATGAACCTGACAGTGCTAGAATACTTTTGTAGACAATATAAAAATTGTATTCATAGTTCATTTGCACAGATCGAATTCTTACCCAGCCTTGCCTAGTAGAATCTCAGAGAGTTAGCCGATAGTGCAGAACATTGAGTTTCTAGAAAAAGGATTCTCAGATTGGGATCTGTAGATCCCTGATGGTCCACAAGATCTTTCAGATAGTCTGCTACATTTCCCTACATTCATTGGCCAGAGTTAGTTTGCTCCCTCAGCTCCTGCTTTTCCTGTATCATCAACTATCAGCTGGCCATGCTTTTGGAGATTTTAGTACACAGATACCTACTGAAGAACTTTTGTGACCGATACACCTGTGACAAAAGCTACGCTATAGCATGAAGTATGAAAAAACAATTTTCAATACATGCTTAGTTTGGAATTAATACTTTGGTAGAAATATTAAATGGGTGCTGTTTAAATTGGTGTTCCACATATTTTCAGATATTTATTTGACATTTCACAATTGCAAGTTTGAGAAATACTGTAATAGAAACTTTTTTCCCCCCATATGCAGCTCAGCCATCATTGCCAAGTGAAAGAGGAGATATAAAGCCGCTTAGGAAGATTGGTCATTCTCCAGATCAACCCTCATGGATGGAACTTGCCAAAAAGAAATCCCAAGCATGGAGTGACATGCCACAGAGGATAAAATAGATTAAATAATTTTGTGCTGTTTTATGCATCCACATCAGCACCCATCAGTGGATCAAATGTTTTAGTAAAACAAAAGTGCTGATTTTTCAAACTAAATTGATTGAATTGATAAGGATAATAAACCTATGGTACACCAAAGAGACTACAATGCAAGAGTTTCAGAAATGTCATCACATTTGTACAGTACTATAGGACAATTCTTGAAAATGACTATAAGCAATTTAGCTTTGCAAAAGAAATTATTGAGATGAAAATTATTGCTTACTGTGTTTCCTTTCATTTTTTCACCCGTAAAATGTTATGCCATGAATATTGTTAGAAGATTAACTAAAAATTAGGTAACTATTGCTTTAATACAGTGAGAATAATAATCCAATCAAAATGTCTTTCTGAGATATACAATTACAGCAGACTAGAACAGAAATATCTTTTCAGACATACAGGAAAAACGTTTTAATGTGATTAAGTGAATGAATGAAAATGAAATAAAAATCAGGTTTTAATAATTGCTTCTTAAGATGGAGTTGGAAATTAGCTAAGATACCTGTGGTTTAGATCCCTACCTTTTAATATAATAAAAGATGAAAACTTATATTAAAACAAGAGATTGTGTAAAGATGCTGATTAAGACATCCTTGAGAGAAGTGTCGGCTTTGGCCATCAGCTTTGAAGGTAGTAGAGCTATACCCTTTCCTGAGGAAACCATCATCTGAACTAGCAATATCAGATTATTATTTTCCTGTTTTTCTCTTTTTAGGGCAGGTTCTTAAGAAGGTGGTGGACCCTATGGGAAACTGTAGAAGAAATGGCTTATCTGAGTCTTTTTTTCAGCTGGATTTCAAACCTGGATATGTTCTGAAAGTATATTGATAGTTTCTTGTGGGAATGAAATAAGGGAAAATCACTCTGTAGCTTCTGACACCATAAATCATGGCATTGTTATGGACCATTGCCTGGAGTTTGAAGTGGGAGGCACTATTTTATATAAATCAACTAATCTTTGCTTATATTGTAGAAATGCTATTGAATGAAAATTATAAAGAGTTGGGCTATTGTTTGACTCTTCCTACCTTTCAGGCAATTTAAGGTACTATATTTTGAGGTATCCATGCATAGTGAAAAGTTCTAGATCACTTTTGGACTGAAAGCTTTATTATGTATTATATTAACCATTCCCATTTTTTGCATTGCATACAATAATGTTATCTTTCTTATTCTAGGTTTCATCCCCATAACATGATAATTTCTCATGTTAAAGTTCTTTGTGACTTACTTCCCAGTAGTTGCATTTGGAATTGTACTTTAAATTTTAACATCTATATTTCTTTTAATATTGTGTAGAGAATTGTAATAAATTTGTAAATCCAAAATACCTTGTGTGAATAAAGTTGATTGTTGTCTTGTTTCAAGTTTAAAATTCACAACATAGTTACTAGGTGAGAATAGTAATTTACTCATGGCTGAATAGATAACTGAGAGACAAAGAAAGGAATGTAAATCAAAACAGAGTCTCTGGGAAAGAAAGCTTGTCAGGATAATTTTGCTTCCAGTAGGAACAATCAGAAGAGAAGTCAAAATCCAGTGAAATTTTCATTTCTACTGTGAATCATGACTGACTGAAGACATCTTTGTGAATGAGCAGTAATGAGAACTGCTTTGTAGAATGAAAGATGGGGAGTAGAAAGTTTCCAGAGAAGAATGGAAGATCACCCACAGATGCTCTGAATGGCAGCTCTTCATGAGATCACAAAAGACCAGTTTCATGCTGGTCTGAAGACCAGAAGCAAAGGGGGATGACATCTTTGCTTTCAGCAGAAGTGGAGCCTTTAATAAGGACACTAAGCTAACCAAATTCATTTTCTAGATACATTTGGAAATGTTCAATTTAACTATCGATAATAGAGACCTTCAAAATAGGGAGCTTATTTTAAGACCTGGTGAATCTTACCTTCTTCTTTGGATTTAAGAAATTTTAAGACTTAAGATACAATAATGTACAATTGGCAAAAAATGTTTTGTTTTGCAAATTGCAAAAATAAAAAAAATGGCAGCAGGACAAATTAATGTGGACATGAAAATCATCCAGATGGACCCAGTTATTGCATTTGATTGCATAAAATAATATTTACTGACCCTGTACCTGTGGAAAAATGCTAGGATGAAAAAGAAGAAGAGGAAGAAAAAAAAACATCTAGTTGATAAAAAACAGAAAAGGATTTGATTTAAGAAAGTTGTAAATGGATCCAGAGAGATTTGAAATATTGGTTATTTGTACTGTAAGTTATGAAAAACAATTATATAATTAAATAATATATTTGTGGGAAACAAATGAAATGGAACTAAACCCACCCATATTAACAACTGAGGCCTGATGAAGGTTGCAAATGGACATTAGAAGGAACTAAAAGAGCAGGCAGAAAAAATGTTAAAATGACCAAGCCAGCCATAATCATTTCATATCTTAAAGAGTTTTTTGATAATTGAACTTTTTAATAACTAAAGTCTCAGAAAGGATACAAATTTCAATGGATACATTTTTACAAAATGATGAGCAATTTTTTAAAAAGATTTTTATTGAATTTTTTTTCACACATTCAATAGTATTTGTTCAACAAACGTGCTGTCTGAGTTTACATTCACTAATATATATTTAATTCCTAATCCTTTGTTCTTTCCTCTAGCCATCGATAAAATAAGTCCCAAGTTTGATAATATTTTGTTTCTTCTTTTCCTTTCAGCCTCAGAGTCAGTCTATCCATCTCCGCGCATTCTAGTATTTTTTTAATTATTTCTTTATCTGATGGTATTTCAACATTTTTCCCATATTGCATGAATATAATTCTTGCCGCTGTTGTAGCATGTAGAATCAAATATATGCTTTATTTATCAGTCTTTTCTGGCATTATATCTAATTTAAAAAGTTCAGGTTTAAAATCTACGTATTCCCCAACATCTTTTCTAGCCAGGCATGTATTTTTTTCCAATAACTCTTTGCTTTGGCAGATGTCCACCAAACATATGGACATGTTTATCTCATATAGGTATAGATTTCTGAAGGCAACAAATTGAGCTCAATGAAATGGGAACATCAAAGACAAATCAGTAAAGGCATCAGGATAATGGAACAACTGCAACAAGAAATCTTTGATGATGCCTCTTTATGTGATTTACAAAGTAAGCTGATGAAAAACTCCTCCTGAATGTCAAAGATTGATGAAAGATCAAATGTTGTTGGAACGATTTAAAGTTTAACATTGTGAAAAGCAGAAAGAAGGAATATAAAGTTGGACTATTTGATCAGGGATAAATTTGTTTGATATTTCTGGTAACTCCTAATGGACTTTTCGTTGAACAAGAATTGTAAAGATAGGCTATGGGAAAAAAAGTTTTTTTTAATTTATAATTTTAAAAGCATGTCAAAAGTTAGTTCATTAGTTTATGCTCTAGTGATGAAGGTTGGAAGGCACTTCTTTATTATAGTAGTTGTTGCTTTTTTTCCCTTTTACTTTTATACTTCTCTTTGAAGCTTTAAAATAGCTATTCCTTTTTTCAGGTTCACATTGCTGCTTCAAAATCAAAAATTCTGCATGTTTATATACTGTACATAGAGCTGCTTTGCTTACAGAAACAGTCAGGAGCATCTTGCAAAAAGGTTTGAAGCTAAAAACAAGATGCTGCTTCTGCTGCTTTAATAATCTGTGCCTCTGGGATAGTTCTTCTTTCAAAGAATTTTCAGATTGCTTAAGTTCCTGTAGATTATCATTTAAAAGATCTGATACACATCTTGCCTAGTAACATACAGCTTCCTCTCTTACTGCATTAAACAGTGGATCTGCATAGATCTCTGCAAGTTTAAACAACAGATTGAAGGTGATACATTTCTGAAAGTGATTATTTCTTTAAAGTAATCATTGTGGTTAGACTTGCTACATATTTAGTATATCACATTTACTATCTTTCATTGATGGGGACTATTTAAACTGTGTAAAGTTAGCACATAAATATATTAATAAAGAAAATAACTGATTAAAAATGTGAGAGGGAATTTCTGAATGACTTTTCGGAACAGTTGGCCCTTATAAAAGAAGATTGGAATGAAGACTGTTCTTTCCTCATTGCTCTCTCTTCTGTTTTCAGATTAAAAGACACAAAGAAATGTCAAACATGAGAGAGGGAAGTGCTTTGATATTAAATAGCGCTTTGATGTTAAATTTAAAAACATATACCATTCAAGTGATCTTAGCTACTGTTAAGAAGCCAGTGTTCGGAACATGAGACTACTATTCCATCTCAATGTACACAAAGTGCCCAAGAGAGATTACAGAGAATGCTGGTAAATTTTATATCTCTCAATTGACCCACTTTAATAGGAACCTAACTTGGATAAGAAGCATGTGAGAGAATACAGAAGCATGAACTTATTTCTATAGCTTGCTTTAAACCAGTCAAATGCCCTTCATTGGTATATTCCTCTGCTATTATATGTATAGGTACACAAGCATTATAGTAGAAAACTTGCATAAAAGCTGGAAAGAGAGGGGAGGGTTTGTATGAGCGAAAGCAAAAATATTATTGCAAAGATTGATTGGATCCTGCCTCCCCTTTGCAAATGTAGTGTACTAGGTAACTTTCCTGTCAATACAGAACATCTGATTTGCAATAATGAAGGACAACTCAGCTCATTGATGAGAATTACACAAGGGAGGGGGAATTTGTGAAATACTTCACATCATTCACTGTTTGGATCTGAACATGCTATTTCGACATAACCCCCTCAAGATTGTAAAATGTCATTGCACCAAAAGGGATGCAACTTCAGGTACATCAGAAGTTCACTCAGACTTGCTTCTTTGTATATATGTATAGAATTATAAATAAACCTGGGGCTTGTGTATAAAAGCAAAATTTATATCCACAAAATAACTTTCAGTCTTAACATGTCTATTGAGAAACAATAGCATGGCATTCAGTGAGCCACCATCAATACAAGTGTACATAAGAATGCAGGCTTAACATTAAAATACAAGCTCATGTGTGTAAATTTATGTGATTACTATAATATGAACTTCAAATATTTTAAGTAAACAGTTTAAAGTCTCATATATTTTTTTGAAGTTAGAATGCTGACCGGCAGGCTTTTTGGTGTTTCTTTTTCTTTCCTTTCCCTTTCCCTTTTTATTTTCTTATGATTGGAATGGTTGTTTTTGGTATCTCTAAGTATTTTTTTTTGGAACGGACTTTTTCTATTTAATTATTATTATTTTTTTTTCTTCTCCCTTCTTTTTATTGTAATGACTCTTTTTTGAAGGACTTTTTTCTGTTTAATTTTTTGTAATTTTTAAGAAGGAGTAAAGCTTTTTTCAATTCTTTTTCTCTTCCTTTTTTTTTCTTTTCCCTTTTTTCTTTTTATTATAATGACCTTCCTTGGAGGGAGTTATGATTTTTGAAGGAATTTTTATAATTTTTTAAGAAGGGCTAAAGGTTTTTCTTTAAGATGGCTCCAAAGCGTCCAGGGATTTCTACAGCTTCTAAATCAACAGTTTCACCCTCTTCTGGGGGTCAGCTAATAACTATGAAGGATTTGCAAAACATGATGGGAGATGTTATAATTCAAATTAGGGCAGAAATGAAAAAGATTTTAGAGGAAAATAATAAGATCTTGAGACAAGATTTTGTTTTGGCTTTAGAAGGAGTTGCTTCTGTTCTTGAAAAGGTGAACTCCCATGTGGAAGAGGTAGCTGAAAAAGTGGACATAATGGAGGGGAAAATTGAAAGTATGGAAAAAGAAATGGAAAATGAGATTCTTATGCTTCAATATGGACAAATGGAATATGCCTTAAGAATCAGAGGCCTGGAAGAGTCTTTGCAAGAAGATTTGAAAGAAATGGTTGCAAAGGACTTTGCATTGATTTTGAATAAAGAAAAAGAGGGAATACTTAGTGAAATTGAAAAATTATTTAGGGTTAACTCTGTGGTGGCAGCACAGAAGAATCTGCCAAGAGATGTGGTAATTTACTTTGGTAAAAGATCCTTACGCAATCAAATTGTGCAAGCCTATTATAAGAAGAGATTTCAAATTGCTTCACAAGATGTCATAATTTTTAAGGAGATCCCATCTAAAATTTTAAGAAGAAGAAAGGAGTTTGCTTTTCTAGTAAATGAACTTAAAAAGAGAAAAATTCTATTCAGATGGGATATTCCGACTGGAATGGTGGTGAACTACCTGGGGACATGTCATAGACTTAATACTGTTTCTCAAGCAAAAGATTTTTATACTTCGGTCCTGGGGGTATGTCCATCGCCATCTATTAGGTCTCAACAAGTCCAGATTGAGGAGCAGAAGACAACTTGTATAGTACATAACTCCAAA